TATTTGGGGTCACAAGTTTTTGCCATGGATATTTTGTGGGTCAGAAGATAAAAAGTTTGGGAACCACTGCTGTACATCGTGTCATGGTCTCAGTTCTTCCACATTTTACTGTATAGTGTGTAAGCACAGTTTAATGGGTCATCCACAAATGCGCTATCTATACAAAAGCTGTATCAGACGAGGTAGAAGCCATATGGGATCACCATCCAGGAAACTTGCAGTCTTCTCAAACCCAAAGCTCATTTACAATGGACTGAAGTAAAACTCATGGTCTTACAGATAGGTACAGCTAAACAAAAAGTTAGCTTTGCTAACTCTTAATCCACTAACTATAAATTAACCTTCGCTAACATTAAACTGCAAAACTTCTAAAAACAAATGAGCTGAAGGTAATGATAAACTGATAAACATATAAGAAGTAAATTAGCAGAAGCTAACGTTAAACCATTAACATAAAAAAATGTAATTAACGGAAGGTGATGCTTATAACAAATAACAAAAAAAGAAAATAGCAGAAGCTAATGTTAGGCCTGGGGGTCCTACTCCAGACAACTTTGAAGCCATTTTCTTAATTCTCAATCAATCAATCAATCAATCAATCAATCAATCAATCAATCAATCAATCAATCAATCAATCAATCAATCAAAAATATAATGTATATAGCTCTTTACACACTTCAAGGCAACCAATATGTTGCACAGCAAAATAAAAATACAGTAATATTAAAGCATGCAGGCCCTAACCCACTCACAAAATAAAAATAAAAATAAAAAACAAAGACAAATCCTGGTGTAATTTAACAGTGAGTACTTTATCAATGAAGTGTGATTAATTCATTCACAACAAAAGTGGTGTTGGGAGAACTAATATTTGATGGAAAGTGTGTGTGTTTAGACACATTTTTACTACATTGTGGGAACCATTTTCCAGAAAAAGGCAGCCTTGTGGGGACCGGGTACAGATGCTAATTTCAAGTTGGGGGGTTTGGTTTAGGACCAAGGTGTGGAATGAGTTTAGGCTAGTTTTAGGGTAAATAGTCAGTATTAGGATTTACAATGGCCAAATGAATTGAAGTCAATTCACGGTCCCCACGGGGATATACAAATCAGAATGTGTGTGTGTGCACTTCTTTCTACTACAGAGTGAGGACCATTTGCACTTTAATTACTATCAAAGCTAGGTTTTTGATGTAAAGTGAGGACCTCTTCAATGTCCTCACTTTGTTTGCAGCTCTGCTGTCCTTCACTAGTTAGGTTTAGAGGTGTGATGTGAGTTAAGTTTTGGTTCAGGTTAGAGTTAGCTATGGACCAGTGATGGTTAATTTTAGGGAAAATGTCTGGGTTAGGCATAAATACAGTTACAAAAATGAATGGAAGTCAATTCAGTGTCCTCAGTTTGATGCTAATACAAGGATGTGTGTGTGTGTGTGTGTGTTTTCCAAACAAATTTTATTTTACATGTGAGGACACATCCCCTTTACAAATAATTAGGGTTATTAATATGTTTATGCCCTGTTTTAAACCAGCACACTGCCTCTCACCACTGAGCAGTGGTCTGTTCAGACTAAAGGACTGAGGTAGAGCCTCGATCTCTGTGATCCTCTGGTACATGGCTCTGGAKAGGTGGTCTGCGTGGTACAGGCTGCCCAGGATGATGCTGGAGAAGTAAATGGGCTCGGAGAAGTAGCTCAGCAAAGATCCTTGGAATCCAACCACATTCCACCTATTTGAGACAAATACACAAAAGAAGCAGAAAAAAACTTCCCAGTATCCAAATTGGATTTTGTCTAAAAGGCACTTATAGCTTRGAGGAACCTCCTGGTGGCTAATCAGGAAGCCCAATCAGAGCTCCTGTGGCCCGCTGACATCTGAAAAGTGCAGAAGCACAAGCAGATGGATTGCTGAAAGACAGACATAATTCAGATTCTCTACATGCACACATAATCAGTCGGGTCCCTACTGATCTGCTAAAGGTTTCTTTCAAGAACTCCAGGAGGTCTACAGAGTTCATTATTTAACAGATAGCGTGTACTGGAGTCACACTAATTATTGAACCTCGTGTTATTTGCCTACCCAGTTGTTACAAACCTTATAAAGACTCAAAATTGAAAGGAAGAATAARTGTGCAGGAAACTAAGTGAATTTTCCATTAAAAATATTTATTCTTTAGCTCTAAAAAACCCTCCAACTTATTGCTCATATTGCGTCTGAGTGTGTGTGACCCCGAGTCTCCTCAGAACCAAAACAGTGACTTCTGCTGCTGGCCACGCTAAAGACTCCTCTCTTCCTTGACCCTGGTCACACCCTGTTTCCTTTATGTCAGAACTGTTACACTGGTATGGCAACAAGTCCTTGTTTATCCTGCTGAGGAGACACATTAAGCAGAAACTTATTGATTCTCTTCCTGTTTAAAGTAAATAACTAATTGATCCCGGAGTGTAAAATATAAGACTGTATCTAAAATTCAGTTTATCYGTCGCAAAATTTCCTTCAGACTATTAAAAATACACGTTTAGAGAAAACTGCAGTTCTGGAAAAATAACGACATCATCTTTTATGTATGAGAGCACACAAGTGAGTGGAAACAACACCAAGGAAGAAAAACAGAAGTCCTCCCTCTGTTAGATTGAGGATTTGGATCTGGYCTTGTTTAGGGCACCTAGAAGTCATTGAGTCGACCATGAACTCCTCTGAAGCAAAGTTGCCTTCAGTCAGTTACTTGCTAATAACACATTAACAATGATGGGCACAGATTACCAAAATGTAAGACTCATTAACTACTAATCCCATAAACAAGAATCTTAGCTCCATTATTGCTACAACGCTAAAGAGATTTTAAAAAAATAAATGTAAGCTAATGCTAACGGCTTCAACAATTTCCTTCAGTCTTTTGCACGTCTTTGACTCCTAATTGAAGACAGGTGAAGACACAAACCTGTTGATGTTAGCTTGATTCTAGGTGGGATCATTTGTYACAAATTAGCCAATCCAAARCAGTTATAGCTGTCTAACTCTCTTTGATCAAGGTAGTATTTTTATAAATACAGTTTGAAGTTAGTCAAACAGATACTTTCTCTGCCATATGTTATATGTAGTCAGTTTTGGTATTCTTTATTGAAATTTTATTTTATTCTTTGACAGTTTTAAATTCAACTGCTAAAGATGCTACATGATTTGTGAATTAACCGAGGGAGAATAAAGCTGGACTGGTCTGTGCTGTGATTTCACAGAACTGTCTTATAAACGAGGCTATTGACTTAGTTAGTAATGCATAATTTTGTGGAAGCTAATTCTGCTAGAAGTTTCCAAAGTTAGCAAAAATCCACTAAATAAGAAGCTAGTTCTGCTGTTGGAGTGGGTTAGTGGTACTGTTCCCAACACTACAAATTAATCAATATAATACTCAGACATTGTATGAAAATTTCTGCAAGACAATATTAAATTCTAAATTTTTAAAGGGGCAATATTATGTGTTTCTCATGCATATATTTAAATTCTATACCATAATAAAGTATTTACGTCACCTTCAGTTGTTATTAAAATGCTGTTTTTTATGTTTAAATAAAAAATAAACTTGTCTTCTCATAATTTCTGTTTCTAAACACCTTGAAATTGGCCTCTTTAGCATTTTCCTGCATTTAGATAATCATTTCTGATTAGATTTCACTTGTTCCTATGACAACGGCTCAAAGAGGAAGAAAACCCCCACTTTAACTTCAGACTATTTCTAAAGACTTTTGCATGGAACTTCCTTTGTGGCTCGAATTAACGTCGCTCACACAAACCCCCACCAGACGTCCTGACGCCTTACTGTTAATAGATAATTGCCACATTCCTGTTCCAAACACCACAAGTTCTGTTGCTTCCATCCCCCATAAGCACAGGACTGTCTGTTTGCTCCTCTTCAAAGGGATCATAAATGCCTTTAACCAGAATCTTCAGTGACTGAGAACAAAGGACCTACATTCTTCATTAAATGTGAAAAAAGAAGAAAAGATAAAGGAATCTGTGTATCTAATGTTTTCTGTCTTATTGCAAAGAATGTCATCTAATCCATTTTTCTTACAGGAAAGAACTAAAAAGACCATAAAGGATCCACCAAGTTTTGCTTAGTTAACTATTCAATAGCTGTGTGTATTGTAGTGTTAATTGTTTTGATGAAATGTTTTCCTGAAGAAGATGTGTGGTTTATTCCATGATTTAATCCTTAGAAACTTTAGGACTTGAAWCTTTAATTAAAAGTGTGACACTCTTATTTTACTGAGGCAAGTAGATGTCTCTCCCTTTAATTAGATGCAAGATAATTAAACTAAAACACTCCCTTCTTCTTTGTCCTGAAGTAAAGTTTTCCCTCCAAAACAGATTTGATTTGTTAAAAAACTTTTCCTGTATAAGGTGTAACATTTTTATTGGCCAACTAAAACCTTGACTCCACCCATAACAGAGAAGAACATAAGACATAAGAAGAAGAAGAAGAAGAAGAAGAAGAAGAAGAAGAAGAAGAAGACCGACAGAGAAAGAGAGTTTTTCAACATCAGAAGTCAGAAACAGCTTTCCAGAAGCTCAGCAGAGGTCCTGCCTGCCAGCCCCTCCCCATGGGCTGGGCAGGATGGTGGTCCTTCTGCATCTCCCGCTGGTTGAACGAACAGCTACCGTTTAATATCGACTCAACATCTGAGTTTGATTTTATAGAAGTTAAATAAGCTAATTGTAACTCACGCGTCATTTTTAGTTAGTTTTTCTCTACAAAGTTGAAATCAAATTAAGAAGTCTTGCAGCCGCCTGGGGAGGACCGGACCCCGTTGTCACCAGCTCACCGCCCACCTTTCTGACTGAAGGGTCAGCAGCTGAACAGACACCCTGAGTGTCCGACCGGCCACTACACTGAAGCAGTTCTTATGGAAACATCACCTGAGAGCCTTCGGTCAGCCAGAACAAAAGGGTAAAAGTGAACATTTGTCCTGGTGACAAACAGGTGCTCAGACTAATTTGATT